TTCCTTAATGTAGAGGCTTCATTTTCTCTTTCAGCTCCAGGACAGAGACCCCCAAGGACAGGGCACTTCTTTGCTCTCTGTATTTTCCTGTCTGCATACGTTCCTGCGTGATGAAAGGGGTCCATTGAACCTTCCAATCCCAAGAGAGGCATTCAAGGCCCTGAAAACTTGCAGCTACACCATGTTCTGGACACTTCTATGCAAGCTAGGGGGAAGTGAGGGTGGCCCAGGGGAAGATGGGCTTCATCTAGGGCTGCAGCGCCTTCTCTCTGCAGTGCCTGCATCTGGATTAAGATGCAGCCACCAGCCTGTGACCCCCTTGGACTGCACAATGCACGCACACGGACCGGTTCTATGAATCGGTGTTGCATTAAAAAGAAATTTCTGGTTTCTTGCAGATAAATTAATTTTCTGGTTAATTTATATTGAGCACAATTTTTACTTGAAATTGTGCCAAGCCCAGAATAAACAAACAACAGCATTTGAGTTAATTATACTGTATTTTTGAAATATTTTCCCAGCTTTTCTCAGTCTGTAGCATAAAGTTTTCTCTGATACAGTAAAACATTTTAATATACAATAGATTACAAGTCTGTATTAATGAATGAAAGTTAATGTGCTTTTATCTGCATATAAAGATATGTATTTCGCAGATACAATTCTTCCTGGGTTTGGTTGTTGACAGAACATGAGCAGTTTCTTATTTTTTATTTACAATTAGGCTCCTTCCCTTTAACTGAGAGAAAACTTAGAGCTCCTCTCTCAGCAGTGTTTTTATCTTCTGGAAAATAGAAGATGGAAAAGTGTAGATGAGTAGAAGGTTGGAGGGGAGGAAAGAAACAATCACAAGCAGCGTATAGGAAATACGATGATTAAAAAAGAAAGCCATCCATACTTTGGAATGGAAAGACTATTAAAATGTTCTGTGATTTCTTCCTGTATTTCGATGCCCATGCAAAGGAAGCCTCTGTCAGCCCGTGTGAAAGAATGTCAGTTTTAGGATGTAATATACGACCTTCCACAAGTCAAAAGGCTGCTTGAACAAACCATGTTGCCCCTTCACGGCGATTCAACACCATCAGCAAGGAAGCTTGCTCTGGTAACCGTGGGGGTGAAGCTGGCCGGTGATGTGGCCGTGTCATGTTCCACTGCTGCTGCTGCTTGGGACCTCACAGAATCGGTTTTGGTACGACCATGACTGCGTGGACGGAGACAGTGGAGGTTGCTTGTAATAACTGGATCATTTCAGGGACAGTTAAATCCTATTACAAATCGTGCAACCGACAGGATTTCCGAGAGGATGTTAAGGCTTTGGGTTTTTCACTCGGTGCTCATCTGTGTGCTGTTATTGGAGCTTCAGTTGAATGTCAGTGTGAAGAGGGTGCACCTCGAGGCCCTGCTGGCACACCCCATCTGATGGCACCTGAGGGGCTAGGGGCTGCAGCGCCAGCCCTGCTGCGCTGAGTGTTGAACTGCACTTCCTTGACACCACTTTTCTGGGCGTTCCCAGCTGGTCCTCTGCTCTCTCTCTGCCCTCCCCCAAGTCCAAAGATAGCTTGGGGACCCCAGGACCATTGGTGAGACTGGCTGGGGTCTCTAAGGGTTTCATGCTGGCCTGAGAGTCTGGATCACTGCTGCTGGGCCAGCCCAGGAGCCAAGGGATGAAGATCCTTTCTAAGCCTGAATCGGGCCCAGAATGCCCAGCTCGCCACTCTGGCAGTGCTTGTGGCTGAAACCACAAGGGTGCGCTGACGATTTTCCTAAGGGTGGTGGGTGCCCGGACCTGGTGGCGGTTTATGGTAAGGGGCTTGGAGCATTTCAAGTTGGGCCAGGGCATGAGGTGCAGACCAAGAAGAGTGTTACAAGCAGAACATGAGGTCACCCATTCACCAAGAAGCCAGAGCAGCAGCAGGAGGGTGGCGCCGTGTTGGGGTCAGAGGCTGCTTCCTCGCCCCCAGAGGAACTGGGGGAAGAGCCAGTCTCCTCCACACTGAGACAGTCTCAGCGCACCCTGGACACTCACGCGGCACTGGCAGAGCTCCTGCTCCAAGTCATCCATGGGGCTGTTGTTATGAGCATAGATGCCAGAGGTCTTGTGTTTGTGGTGGTGACAGAAGCCACCTGTTTGGAACACAAACTCTTGGAGTTCTGGAAACGAGTGAATGGCTAGTTCACTGGCTCACACTAGGTTTTCTCTCAAAGCACGCAGGTCTGAGCCTATTGTAATTCTGCCAACAAAATGGACAACTGAAGGAGATGAGGAAATTTGCAAGTAAGATTCTGGAAGGATCGAAGTGGTCCACTGTCCTGGCTACGTAAGAAAAATGAATTGAAGAACCACTATCCATGTGACTCATCCGATACACTCATTCAATAAATTTTGTCCCATTTGAAATATTTTTGGAAAAAGGATGCTTTTTAAATTATGTGGATAACTGCTTCACATCTCTTTTTAAAAATAGTTTCACCTTATTTTCTTAGGCTTTTTTGTATTAAGTTCCTGAAAGTTCATATAAATAACATTCTTCAATATTAAAAAGCATACAAACAAATCTGAACATTCTCCCACTGTCATAGTAGATCAGGATCTTGAGAAGTCTATGGAAGTCATTGACTGAAATTCTTGGAAAGTACAACTTGTCATGCAATTAATATAACGGGAGACCAAGGACAATATTCAGCCATATTCTTCGGTGCTAAACGAATATTCTAAATGTAGCTGATACCATCAGAAGACTGTATTCTTGAGAAAGGTATATTATTCTGGCAAACCGAAATCACCAAAGTTCCACCACCACATCCCGTTATAAACTTGCTTCTAAAAAGTAAACTCTTGGCTTTCTCAGTCCTCTGTAAATAGTCAACAGTCCATTTTTTACTCAAGGTCCCCAAATTGATGTGGAAATTACAAATCATGTTCTATGCTATTTCAAGTTAAATGGCCATGCCATTTTTTTCTGTCCCTCTCTCTACTATGTCCCTGAAATATTGGAGATGTACATATATATGTGATAGGGGTGCTTTTAAAATGACCTAATATTATATATAATAAAGTTTATTGTGTAACAAATAATTAGAACAAAACAATTTTGTGTTAAAGGTACATGATCTATTGCTGTTAAACTGGAAGGCAGTACAGGACACCAACATAATCTGTGTTTCACACTAACCTTTCTGAAGGCACCAGCGTGTTGCAAACTCTGCCTCTCTTTCCTGATGGTCTTTGTTAGCACACGGGCACAAGTCCATATGGATACTTGAATAATTTTAAAACTTCTCCATTCTAAGCATACACTAGGTAATAACTTAAATATCTAACACATAATTCAAGTAGCCAGTCTTACAAAAAGAAGGGGAGAGGGAGAGAAGGGAAGAGGTATTGTACCTTGTTGGTCACTTGCTGACTACTGTCTACTCTCACCATTTGAATGTGCAGCGTCCCATTCCACCACCTGGATTCTTTGTTCTTTCCTGGCAAAGGAAGGGGGAGGCCAAGAAGTTAGATCATTTGGATTTGCAGCATGCTCTGTTTTCTGGCTGTGTAGCTGGAAATCATGGACGAGCTAAACCTGGATAGGCCACTCAGTGGCTCTGAACCTGAGCTTTGAAGACTGTTGTACAGAAAAAAACACCTCTGCCTACCTACTTGGATGAGGCATCATGAGCACAAAGGGGTTCTTAAGAGTTACTTTCTCAGAATAAATAAAGTATCTGCTAATCACGTTGCTATAGTTTTACCTATATTCCTGAAGTCAGGGAATGAGGATAGTGTGGTACTGAAACCTACTTGGGAGGTCAAAGATAATGGCGGAATGGGGGTGAGGACATGTGTCCTTGGAGAATGGCCACCCATGACACACAGACAGAGCTGGGAAGGGCCGGTCCCAGGTCAGATGTCCAGAGGCCAGTTCTGGAGACCTGGGAGACAGAAGCCGGGGAGAACGCGAGGTGCTGGTCCTAGAAGCAAGGGGTGGTGAGCCACTGGGGTCTGCGTCGGCCACAGGATGTCTACGCCCAAGGGAGTCCAAGCAGAATATACAAGTCTACATCGCCCCCCTTTCCCATTCTGCTTCCTTTTCCCGGGGTCACACGGACAAGTCTCCAAATAACTCCTCTTTTCTGATACCACTCCTCACTCTCCCAACTGAGAAGGCAAGGCTTTTCTTTTCTGAGATGATCAAGGTCAGAAGGTGGGGAAAGAGCTACCCAGTCCAGGAGAGTGCTGGAAGCTGGGCTGCCTCGCTCACGACAGGGGACAGGGCGGGGATGGGATTGGCAGAGACTTCCAACCACCACGCTGCTCAGAGCAGGAACACCCTCTGCAGGGTGGTTATTCCTGAAAAGCTGCCACCAGCCAAATCAGTCCAAGCCAGTGCTTTGTTCCATCCAGCTCGGAGAGACCTCGTGCTGGGACACGAATTGCCATCAGGAGAGGACCGTTTTAAAAATAAAACGTATGATCTTATGAGTTGCATGTGGAATGGCCCCTCTCTCATTGAGGGTCCAACACAATATTGGTATAGTTGTTTTCTCTCAAAGTGCCTCATCTCTTGCTCCTTCTTGAGAGGCTAGGCAATCCATAAGACCATAAACACAAAAATAATCTCTAATGGGTTACGGAAGATACTAAGGAGCCACCATTTTAAACAGTCAATATGGAAAGGGATGTCACTATGTGACCCCAGGTGTCTTCACCTTCCCTTCAGTTTACTGGTGGAATTCATAATGGTGGAGCCATCATGAAAAGCAGTTTCTAATCACAGCTTGTTCCTCAAGTATTCTCAAGTACTGAAGCAAATTTAACCACCTAAATAAAGAGCGCTTTGGCAATTATTTGGAACATAGTAGGTTGTGAGTAAATACTGGCGGAATGTTACATATCTGTTGGAAAGAATTTGACTAACTTTATGTATTTAAAAGCTCTTTGATGACTCCTCAAATATATTTGGGTAACTCAAGACATAAAGTGCTAAAATGTAATTTTGATTGAAACACATATATAAACAAGCAGCATTAACACTTTTAATCAAGTTCTCAATGGAGAGTCCAGAAATACTTAGAAACCGGATCTGCCCACAGTTAATTAAAAATCATCATTCCTTTAGTAATTGCAAATCAAGGGAATTTTATTTGGATCCAGGAACTCCTGAAATTGTATATAACATTAAGAGGGTTTATTTTTATGTGCATTTTTTTCTGGAGAAAGGAGCTACAACTTTCATCAAATTATCAAAGGCTTTGTGAGCCAGAAAAAGGTTAATAGACACTGTTGATGACAGATTTCAGGAGGCACTCAGATTGCTCGATACACGATTGCTTAATTCACTTCTCCTTCCGACTTTCAGGCTCAGCAGGAATATGAGAATTCCCCAAGTTTGAATTACTCTAATATACAGTAACAACACTTTGGAGTCATGTTATTGAAGAAAACAATTTTTTACAAAGGAACTGTATAAAAATAGACACTTGGGGAGATTTTAAATTTACACGTATATGGTGTGCAAGTGTGTGCTTTTTCTTAATCACTTCCTCTCATTCATCTCATCCCCCAGCTAGCCTCCTTACCCTGGAACTTGGGGCCTATTCCAGGGGGGCACAACGACAGATACCACAGCAGAACAAAGCAACCACCTGTGAAAGATCTTAGATGAAAGAGAAACCACAAATGATAAGTTCTGAGACTTACTGCAAACATTAGAGGCTGACTTTCTGGGCTGTCTGAGAAACCCTCTAAGCTCCTGGGTGCTCTTTCTAGTAGAGAGACCCACATTCTCACAAGACCTTCCATGCAGCAAAGACCGTTACTCCCTCCCCTCTGGAAAGGTTCTGAGGAAAGCCTGCAGCAAATTTCAGGAGGAAGGAACGCCCCCATTGAGTAGTGTCCTCACTGGCACCAAGTTCCAGCAGAGAATCACCTAGAGCCTTGAGCCCTGCAAGCGGATGAGCAAGGACAGACAGGCCACATCTTGATTTCCCTTCACTGAGTCTACAAGGGAATCGATTATGTGCGCTGATTGCTCAGAAATACTGGACCCGCGAGAAAAAATCCTTTATAGGAAAAGGCTCTAAACTCCAGCAGATTCAGTTTGGCTCCAGATTTGGAGGTGTCGCGAATCCCTATGGTATGTATAAATGGCATGTGTGTTTTTCTGGGAAGAAGCTCTGTGACTTCAAAGATTCTAAAATTGGTTTGTGACCTTCCCATGATACGGGCATCCCAGGAACTCTGCAAGGGAGAGGCTATGGGGCACATCTTTTCAGAAATCCTACTTTATTTTCTCAGTCAATTCCTTAAGATAATGCAGGAAAACTATCTAGAAAGCCTAATAGGGATGTCATCACAAGCAAAACTAGTCCTGCAACCTGTTTTTGTTCGTTTGTTTTCTAAGTTCTATGTAAAAATAAATACGTCTCAACCAAAGTTATCTGTAGCAAATATGTCCATTAAAATCCCACAGGACACATAGGGGTGTTTTTTCAGTTGCTTTGTTTTCAAAGTCATGATGCAAAAAAACCCCAAATCTTCCTATTTTAGCCACAAATTGCAGGAAACAAAGGGTGCCCCAATCTCTGAAGTGGTACTGATCTTTTCAATGAGGAAATACCAGGCATCAAATATTTAGATTTTAGAATATTTTAATGTCCATTTCTTCAGTGGATGCATTTTGAAATTACTAAAATTAACAATTTACCAAGAGTAGAGCAAAGGAAAGATAGAAAATGCAAACAGTTGATTCTTGCTAATTTCAGATTCTAGGCATGATGTGATTTTCCGAAACAACCAAAAAATGCTTACCTCAAAAATCTAGAAATGCAAACGCAGATGTATCTTTGGAAACTACAAATTATTACAGCCCACGCAACGGGAAGCACGTGGCCCTTTGGCTCTCAATGTCATGTGCAAATGTGCAGGTGTCTCCTCAAGCAAAGTCAGTGTTAATGGAGTCGTGTGCAGGTGTTGCATAATCTGTGCGACTCTTCAAGCTACTTAAGGGTTTAATAATGACGCTCTACATTTGTTTGCATTGGACAAAATTATGTGCTTGTTTATACATATATATAATTTGATCTGACCTGGGGCCAAGAAGAAAATAGCAATTGCGACTCAAAGCAACTATTTACACACATTCAATTCTGAAGTATTGCTTCCTGCCCTAAGTTCAGAAGAGGTATTGCCACTCTGAAGAATGCATCCGTCGTATCGGTAGTGCTTGAACCTGCTGCTTAGAAACCCATCTGTCTTCAGCAACTATCTGTTCAATGCCAACTGGGAGAGATGCACAGCATTTCCGCTGCAGAGATTCTGTGGTTCCGCGATGAGGTATGCTTCAGAGTGGGGAACTGGGAAGGACCAGAAAGCACAGCTGAACTGGTTATTTAGGAAGGCTCAGGGCGTTTTTTAAAGACAATTTTGAACTCTGGGTGAGCCATCCATCAAAGGCTCCAGTTTGCACAATGCTGAACCAGACCACCAGATGGTCTGACTCTCTCCCGGCAGTTCACAGCCTCTCAGATTCCCAGGGTCAGGAATCATAAACACCTTTGTAGGAGGGGAAGGAAAAAAAGAGTTTGACAGGGAGGAAGTATGTGCAGAGATGAACTTTGCAGGGCACGTTTTGAGCAGAACAGCAGATACACTGGTGACTCACAGGCAACCACCCAGCCCCTTAGGTGCCACCAAAGCTACAGAGCCTGGAGCGAGAAGGCAGAGGAGCAGAGCCACACTCAAACACAGGCCTTAATACTGATGGAAGAAACCCCGAACACGCCCACAATTCTTACAGACAAGGAGAGCATCAGGTAGTGTTTTTTTTTTTAAGTAAAATAAAAATTCTGCAATATTTTATAAGAATACATTCTTTAGAAGCAAGAGGTATTGTCAGAACCATTCTTTCTCCGGCATTGGAAGAACAAAGTGATAGTAAAATAGTAAAACCTGAAGGAAAATCTTAGTCACTGAGAATGCTCTCAATTCCCCAGGACATCGGGGTCCTGGCTACGGCTGTATAGCCGGTGGTCATCCCATGCATGTCCCCTGGGAAGATGGCTGATCAGAATCAATATTTCATGATGCCAGAGATGGCAGATTCTGTACGAATTTGGGGAGGAATAATAACGGGACTTAACACAGATGTGAAAGTTATACACAGATTTACCGGTGAAAAGCAAATGCACAGGGCATGTCGGTGAAGACCTTAAACAGAGAAGGAGCTAGTCCTCAAATTATCCTGGGAGCTGTATGCTAGTGTCACCTTAAAAATAACTATGACTGTGACAAGGCAACTCTAGCCAGAGTTCAGTTCTACACAAAGTTCATACTCCATGTGGCAAAACGTAATTATAAGGAGGATTGGCAACAAAGGGCACAGAGGTGAGTTTCCTAGGTTTTCTACACTGTCCCCGGTTTAATACCTCATTTGCATCCAGATGATTCTGTCCCAGCATCCACTGCAAGAACTCCATCTAGAGAGGCTGGCCTTCACTCGCCAGGCCCAGTCCTGCCACAGAGAGGCCCTGCGCAGGCTGAGAACAGGAAGGATGAACTTCTGGCACGTGCGAAGGCCAAGACAGCGCTGGCACTGCCTGCCACCCTTGTGCTCTATCCAGACCTCCTGCTTCATACCCAGTGGGTTCTGATTCGCCCAGCATCACGCAGGGCAGAAGTAGCGCCTTCATTTTAAAAAACAGTGATGTAGAGCTTCTCTGACCCAGAGCGCTGGTCATGCCCACTGCAGTCCTGCTTGGCCCCCTCAGGGGGGAGGTGGCCCAAATAGGCTAGAGCACTAACAGACAACTTCTCATCCTCTGCTGTGTGCCTTCAGCAGATCCCAGAGTCTATTTCCCTTCAGCAGAATGACCTGGTGTCCCCTCCCTGAAAACACGTTTCCTGATAAATAAATAAATAAATAAATGCAACCCTCCGACATTTATTTTCACTTCCCTCTCAGACAAGTCAGCCTCAAAGACAAGTTCCTTCACTCCTGGCTGGAAGACCCCTCGGCACGAGGGCAGAATAAAAACAGCTTTTAAATACCTGAGGCTTAGGTTCCCAAGCTTTGTTACCAGTTAGCTTTTGGAATCCACAGCCCACAAGGACCTGGGTGCTTTGGAAGGAAGGCGTGGGGAGGGAGGTGCGCCAGGCCAGCCCGCTGACTGCTGTTTTCAGCCCACGCCACCCCCCCTTGAGTTCCCTCAGTGAGTTACTGGCACTTGATCTCAGATTCATAAATGCAAGTGTGTGTGCGTATGTGTTATACAGAAAGGTCAGGTCACTGGAAAACACTACTATGTATATAAAAAAAAACCCTCAAAAACTTTGAATTAGCAAAAGAAAAAAAAAGTGTCTCATGAGAAAAAGCAACAAAAATGTATCAACCACAGCTTTTGTCTTAAAAGTCAACAACACCCAATGCCATGACCTCACCCTGTGGCCTCTGTCCTTAGACTCCGGAGCCACAGCCAGCCCCCAAAGGCACTTGTTCTCCATGCTGCTGACCGGTTACACTCAAGGGAGAGGGCTCCAACGGGAGAAAGGGAAAGAAATGCATGAAAACGAACCCTGAATGACTGTGATCTACACAGAGGTTAGGGCTGCAATGACCACATGACACCACATCTGGGGATGGAAACTGTGGCACTGGGAACGCACAACAGCCAAATACAAATATTATTGTTTCGATGAACAGAGCACCGCGGGCAGCATTCAGGTGCTGCGTCATACACTCTTTGAGACATTGAGCTTGGTGAGTTCATTGGCTTCTTCCATCCCCATATCTTCACAGTCAGTTTTCTCTATGGCTTTGCCAAATCGACACCTTTCTTCGGCTTTGATAGGCTCTTTCCAGGGTCTCTTAGAAGACAGGTGAGGGTCCTTGGCCTGCGTGTTGTTCTCAGAACCCAGACATGTCTTGTCCAAGTTCTGTACAGAAGGCACCAGGTTGGCAATCTCGTCTGTGGGAGACCGTCCGATGCTGCCGTCCACCTGGACTCGGATGTCTGGGGAAATGGACAGCTGGTGCTGTGGCACGATCCCGTTGTCTGTGCACTTTGGGTAAAGGTAGGTCTTCATCTGACCCTTACCCTTGACATTCACTGTGCCCCTGTAGTCAAAGTCGTAGCCCATCTTGCTGAGGACCCGGTAGCTTTCTTCACTCACTTGGATGCGGCACTCCACTCCTGTGGTGTCCATCCTGCTGGCGATGTTGACAGTGTCTCCCCAGATGTCATACAGTAGCTTGGTAGTGCCAATGACCCCTGCTGTCAAGGGTCCGTGGTTGAAGCCAACTCTGAGTTTGAAGTTGAACCACAGCATGTTGTTGTTGAAGTCATCCACCACACGCATCATCTCCTTGGCAAACTCAAACAGAATCTGTAGGTGTTCCTGTGGATGGCTGCCATCCTGGCACTGTGTGGCATTCAGCCCCGATGCGGCCATGTATGTGGCTCCAATGGTTTTAATCTTCTCAATGCTGCTGTAGTCTGGCTTGCTCAGGAGTTCATCGAAGTCCCCTATCAGCTCGTTGAGGACCCGGTAGCACTCCTTGCCTCCCTCGTAGTTCTCCTCATAGAACTCACTGAAGTTGACAATGCTGGCAAAGATGACTCCCCCATTGTCGTGATTCTTGGAGTAGGTCTGGGAAACCTTCAGCTGCTCAGCCACATGGTAGGGGATGATGTTCCTCAGCAGCCAGTCGGCTTGGTCCCTCATGCTCTGGATCTTGGTGCGGTGAAGGTCTGCCTCCACATCCCCATGGTAGTGCAGGCGGTAGCTGACTTCAAATTCTCGATTCAGGAACCAGACCAACAAGAGCAAGAGAAAGAAGACGAGAATCATCTCCTGGCCAACCAGGCTGGCTGGTCTCCTGCTGTCATGCAGCAATGAACTATTGCATGGATTCCTCTCGGAACTAGAGAGGAAAGAGGAGAGAAAGAGGTCTCTTCTTAGATGCATCTTTTAAAGAAAAGGTTACTCTCAGTATTTCCAGGTTCTGAAACAGTCCAGCTAACCAGCATCCTGCATAAAATTTTGTCAAGCTCAAACCTTCAACAGCCTGCAGCTGCAAAGCAACCTGTTTCTGTTTAGTTGGCTGGCTAAAGACATGGAGAGATAAAGACTGATTTTCATAACTGATTTCTTTAATAAATGCTTTGTAATTGCTTTGCTTTTCAGAAGCTCTTTGGTTCTAAAAAATCTCCCCCCCCCCCC